GTATCAACAGGACTCCTGTCTTATCCCCCTATACAAGGATTGCCATTATAACTGTATTTGGGGCAACTTGCAGTCTAGATACAGTAATAAATTAATATTCATGATCTTATGAAGACCGTAGCTCCATTCGTGATCCCATGAACTGCTGAAATACAGACCTGTGTTCAAATCCAGACGCACTCAGATCAACAGAATAAAATCATACCAAAATTTTTAATTTACAAGCTTTAGAAGTCTCAAAAGCACTTGAAGGCGGGCCCGCTTTGTCCCATATCGACCACAGTCTGGTGGACCAGGTACCCCTTTCCCAGCTTAAACCGTCTGATAGGACCGAAGGAACTGCAAAGCAAGTTCCTTTTTCCAGAGTCCAGATTGTTCTTGAAACCATCTTAAATAAGCACATCATTAATTGAATCAGCTTCAAAACCATTAGTACGTGGCCCAGCTATCGGCCACTGAAAAAAATAGAGTAGAAACGTTTCTAGTCGGATGAATGTGGGCGCTCCTGTAGTGGCCGGTGCGTTTCCTAAAATCGTGGCTTCTTAACGGGCACAACTTCAGGAAGTACAGGTGGGTTAATGTTAATGATATGATACTTTCGGACCTTTTTTTAGGCTTCCACTTGTTGGTTTTGAAAAGCTCCAGTTTGGCGAATCCTAAGTTGCAAGAACCTGTCTGAAACCTAAGTCACCCAAACCATTCCAGTACGTCAAAAGCACGACGTCACCCGCTTGTACACGGCCTGAAGTTTCGAAGGAGGGCGCTCATGCTTACCTACTGGTCTAAAGTTCATTGATTGTTCATCGTATGTTCATCGCTGTGCTGGACCCGCCGGGATGGTGGTCCGACAGGATGGAGACGAAGGGTAGACGAGGGAGGAGATAGAGATGGAGCTAGAAGGGACAGCGCAACTCCGACGCAGACTCAACACGCACGTACTCCAAGATCTGCAAAAGTGAAGAATGACGAAAAACAGACAAGTGCTGGGGTATACCCCCAGCGGACTGACCGACTGGACTGGACTGGCCTGGTACCGGGCATGACTAGAACAGCACACGGCCTGTGGGGTCAGGCCACGGCCTGGTCCCACAGACCGAACTGGGCAAATAGCCAAATAGGCCCTGGCTGTAGGCGAGGGCAGATGAAGGCCTGCTGCACGATCCTCAGACCTGTAACGGATCGCAAGAGCCATAAACACGCTATCCGCAAAAGCAGCGGAACTCTGCAATAAAGAAAACTGAGAAATCTAGGATGCGGAGCAAACTCCATGCGGAGTCCATGCGATGCATCCTAAGCTACATAATGTCAAAAGAAAAGCAAATGTCTGGTATACATATCCTAGCTAACAGCAGAAAATGAAATGTACAATCCTAAAGTCCTGGAGGCAGTGGTCTCAGTGCTGAAAGGAAAAGGGCAATATGTCACAAGATAGTGTCATGTCGCTGAACCACTAAGAGTGGGATGGTCTCAGAGGGGGTGAATGCAGCCTAAGAATCGAAACTCCTAAGGGCAGTCACACATGAAGGTGGGATAGGTCATCAGGCTCAAGGTGGGAGAGTGGTAGTGAAACAAAACCAATGACCCTAACAGATAGACCATCAAGGCGGGTAATGCTCGACAGAAAAGGGGGAGCCTGGAATAGGGTGGAGCTATGCCGAACTGGAGGCATGCAATAGCCGGCGTAAGGGTGACGAGGGCAGTGGGTGAGGGAAACATGCACACGACTCACCGAATGGGAGAGGGAGCTAGATCTGGGAGCAAGGAAGCCAAGATAACGCTACGGTCTCAATGCTTATGCGATACCAAGGGAGAGCCAAACTCAAAGAGACCCAGCTAAGTGAGAACCATCATGCGACAGAGGCAAGGGAGTATACAGGATAGGGTGGTGACGTGAAGTAGTCATGTCCAAAGTAGTTGAAGTCGTCGAAGTGGTCGATGACGTCGATGAAGTAGCAGTCGATTTGATGTCGAAGCAGAGCCGCAAAACGCTGACATCCTGGAGAAGAGTTGATGATGGAGTACCTGATGGTGTGAGTCAGTGGGGAAAGATAGAGGATAAGAGTGTCAGTCATCGTAACGCGAAGGGAGACGATGAGTGCGCTGTGGACGCTCGGAGGCGACCGTCTGCGGCTGAGGAACGGCCTCAGAGGGAGTGGGCTCGTCCTCAGCAATCTCCTCAGCCAAAGGAGGAGGAAGGGGGTCAGTCGGCTGAGTAGAAGCAGATGTCTCAGCACGACGAGCACGATCATATGCATGCACCAACATCCTGGCGTGCTGCAAGTGTTCGAGGGGCTCCCAAGTAGCCTCCTCATCAGGGTAGCCCTTCCAACGCACAAGGTACTCGATGCGTGGAGGGGTATCGTCGGTAACTCGGCGTGATACGATGTCCGAAACAACGAACTCCTCGTGACCGTCCACCATGATAGATGGAGGGCGCTCATAAGGGCGTCCGGCGAAGCGCTCGGACGGTCTGCGATAAGGACGTAGCAAGGAGACGTGGTAAACATCGTGTACACGAGCCTGTCGAAGGTAATCAGGTAGCTTCACACAGAAGCTGACCGGACTAGCGGCAGTATCAGAACCGACGGCCTGAAGGATGCAGCATGGACCAAAGAAACGATGCCTGAACTTGCGAAGCGTATCTGCTTCGAGCTGTAAGTGGCGTGCATCGACGAGCACATCGTCACCGACTTTGAATGGATGATCCATTCGTGATCGGTTCGCTCGTGCGGCCATGCGAGTCTGGGAGTCGGCTAAACTCTCGTGTGCGCGCTTCATAATCGCCGCCATGTGCGCGATCCAGTCGTCAAGCGCACGGCAACGAGTGTCTGGGCGCAACCGCGATGGTCGTAGGAAATCCACGGCTACCCGAGGGTGGTAGCCAAGGTCGCAATAGAATGGCGACATCCCCGTGGCTGGCGAAACAGCGTGGTTGTACGCAATCTCCGCGTGGGCTAAGTGTAAGTCCCACTGCAAGTCATCCCTAACAAACTTTCGGAGGATATTACCAATAATTTTATTGGTGACCTCAGTCTGACCATCCGTCTGAGGGTGGTAAGACGATGAGAAGCGGACCTGGGATCCGTACACCTCGTGTAGGCGTCGCCAGAATGTGTTGGTAAAGCGCGGGTCATGGTCGGAGATGATGCTCTGAGGTAAGCCGTGATCTCTCACGACTCGGTTGAAGACGATGTCGGCGACCTCACGAGCGCTAATGCGATAGCGGCACGGGACAAAACGTGCACTCTTCGTGAAGCGATCGACGACGACCAAGATAGCATCATGACCTCGCTCAGTGGGTGGGCGGAGGGGACCAATGAAATCCATCGAGATGGACTGCCAACGACCCTCAGGTATGGGTAGGGGCTGAAGTAACCCATACGGAAGGTGGTTCGCACTGTTCACCTCCTGGCAGGTAGGACACTCCTGGATGTAGACTTTGACAAAGTCCTTGGACTTCGGCCATACGTATAGGCGGCAAACACGAGCCAACGTCTTGTGGAAACCCATATGACCGGCAACTGCCTGGTCATGGAACTCTGCTACAGCCTGGACGCGGAGCTGTCCGGTGGAGGGAACGCAGATACGTGGTTCTAGCTGACTAGATCTGTCATGCCTGTACACGAGGCCGTTCTCCCCGAGGAAGTAAGAAGGAACGGTCTTGCCACTCCGCAGTGTCGCGTGGATAACGCGATAATGGGGGCAGTGGCGGTACTGAGTGCGATACGCATCGATCACCGACTGATCAACAGTGGTGATGGAGATGGCAGCAAGATGGATGGGTTCCTGATTGTGATCAGGACGGCGGGACAAGGCGTCGGCGACGCGGTTCGTTTCACCCTTGATGAGCTGAGTGGTGAAACTGAACTCGGAGAAGTCACGCCACCAGCGTGCCTGTCGAGGGGAAAGCTTAGGCTTCGTGAGGAAAGTCTGGACAAATGAGTTGTCCGTGCGCACCGTGAAGAGCGCCCCGTGCAGATAATGACGCCAATGTCGGGTAGCATAAACAACTGCGAGAACCTCACGTTCATCGGCAGTGTAGTTTATCTCGGCAGGCAGTAGGTGACGGTCGTAGAATGTGATCGGGCAATCCCCAGCACGAGCCTCGACAGTCCCATCCTCCGCCATGGTCGGGGAGTAAGTAACAGGAGGACTGTAAGTGGAGGGAAGTGGTGGGAGGGTAGGCATCAGTCGAGAAGCAGTGTCAGCAGGAGGGGGGGGGAAAGGAGAGACATGGGGGTAAGGTGAATCTGTAGGAGAGGGAAACACCTAAGAAAGGACAACTCCTACTGCAAAGTCTGACGCATCGGTGGTGACGATAAAGAGACGATCAAAATCGGAAAGGCGAAGAACCGGCGCACAGATCACCGCCTTCTTGAGGGCGCGAAAGGCGTCCTCGCACAAGGGTGTCCTAAGCCACGGCGGGTTCTTCCGGAGGAGGGTAGAGGTAAGGACGTAGGAATACCTAGCGTATCCCTGGATAAAATTACTATAGTAGCTGGTGAGGCCTAGGAAACTGCGAAGTTGCTTGGCAGATGTGGGGACGGGCCACTCTGCAATAGCAGTGATCTTCGCGTCGTCAATGTGGAGACCCTGGTCAGACACATGGTGTCCTAGGAAGTCCACTTTGCGCAGGGCAAAGCGGCACTTACTAAGCTTGGCATAGAAGCCATGCTTGCGTAAGCGCTGTAGGACATCGCGGAGGTGTTTGAGATGGTCTTCTAAGGTACGACTGTAGACCAAGATGTCGTCAAGGTATAGGAGAACGTATTCTTCAAGGATGTCCCTGAAGATGTCGTTCGTCGCCGTCTGGAAGGTGGCGGGTGCATTGGTGAGGCCGAATGGCATCACCGTGAACTCGTAGTGGCCGAAGCGCGATCGGAAGGCGGTCGTTGGCTGATCCTCTGTGGCAACGCGGATCTGGTGATAACCGTTACGAAGATCGATCTTCGTGAAGAAGCGGTTGCCTGCCAGACGGTCAAACAGCTCATCCGCACGGGGCATGGGATAGCTGTTCTTAATCGTGTAACGGTTAAGGCCGCGGTAGTCAATGCAGAGGCGGAGAGTTCCGTCCGCTTTGCGAGCAAAGAGGACAGGTGCACCCCAAGGGGAGTTACAGGGCTTAATGAAACCCAGTCGAAGGAGCTCCTCAAGCTGACGCTTAAGTTCCTTCGCCTCTGGAATCGAGAGTCGGTATGGTGCCTGATGGTGAACACGATAGTCAGGCACGAGTTGGATGGAATGCTCGACACCGCGCATCGGAGGAATCCCTCTGTATGGGAAATACGGGGGAAAAATGTTGTGGTACTCTCGAATCAGGTCGCGAACGGCGGGCTCTAAGTCTGTCGTGAACCGTGTGAGTTCCTCAGCGTCTGCGTTAGCACGAGACGTATGTATGGACTCTACAGTTGACGGCGCAAGGGCCTGAGACGTGGAGGGGGTATCTGCAGGCTGACGAGTGGATGTAGAGATGGGAGCCGCGAAGATGGAAGGAGGGTTAGGGGGATCGGTCTCCAGAGAGATGAGCTCAACCTCGGGACAGAGTGGATCGTAGCGAAGAAGATCCGTGACGTTCACTGAGTAGAACATGACCTCCTCCTGTCGTATGAAGTGAGCAAACTGACGAGGGGAAGTGAACGCGATGTTGGGGTGGGACCCTGAAGGACGAGGGTCCTGGGGAGGTAGGTCGGGCGGGGTGTCGCCCGTGGTTCCAATGAACGGGACGTGATGGGTCTAACCACACTTCGTTTTGAGAACGAGTGTTTCGGTCGCCCATTCGGCCTCTGTGCCATGGAACTGGCGAGACCAGGGGGTGCCAAGGATAAAGTCGTACCCAGTCTCCAGCACGTCGAAGTATGTAGAGGAATGGTAGCGCCTAGGCGTCTGGGGACTATCCGATGGCTGGAGGGTGAGGGAGAAGTGGAGGTCGGGGACCGTCTGATCGAAGAAGCGATGCGTCTTGTTATCTCCGAGGGTAACGGAGATAGGAGAGCGAGACCCAAAGGTAGTTAGGCGAGCTTCCTCAACCACGCGAGGGTGAACGAAATCTCCCTGCAAGCCAGAGTCCCATAAAGCGCGGTACACCCTCATAGATGTCCCTAGGCGAATAGGGATGATGGGTAGGGTGCGATCAGGGTCAGAGAGCAAGGCGAGAAGACGACGCAGGATGTTGATGTGTCTCGTGAGGCGCTCCTGACGAGCCTGCAAAATGCTCAAGTCCAGGAGAGATGACACAACGTCATCGCAAGTCGCCAGCTGAGCGCTACAACGGGCTGTGCGAATGGCGCGACGCGTTGGAAGTCTCGGGGGAGAAGCGCTAGATGCGTTAGTCTGCTGGGAGGCAGATGGTACCTCGACAGACGATGGGCCGAAGAGAACTGCGTCTGTCGTGTCCTTAGGGTCCTCTGGTGGGGTAGCCAAAGGGGCAAACCACGACTCGGTGGTCGGAAAGCCGGCTACGTGCGAGGCCTCAGGGGCACAGTGCACCGTGGCTAGATGGATGGGGCTGGCCGGGCGGGGCCGGGGGGGAACTGAGATCGACGCTGACGAGAGATGTCAGCGTAGTGCCGATCGAGGGCGGTATGGTATGGGCACCGTGAGGAGGTGTGTCCATTTAGGCGGCAACGAAGGCAACCGCGCCGGGCCTCGAGGGCGGCACGCTCCTCAGGGGATAGAGCTCCTCGAGGAGGGACATAACCCTGCGGGAGGTCTATCTGAGGAACCGTGGGTGTGCGGGCTCCAGCCTGTGCAACCGGACTACGAGCACGACCCATGGCAGACATGGCCATCAGCAAGCGCTCGGCCACCGGAACAGTGTCGTCATCTAAGTGATCTTGGATGACGTCTCGCAGCTCGATGTCCTCAGGGGCGTCCCCAAGGGTAGGGTCAAACTCGACCGAGGCGTCCTCGTCGTACCCCAGAGAAATGTAGCGCCGAGAGAATGGCGCTCCAGGGCGGGCTGGTCGACAAAACCGGCCAGTGAAGGAGGATCGATCGCGAGTAGCACCACGTGACTGGGTAGCGGCAGAGGTGGATCGCAAAGAAGATGGGGTGTCGGAAAAGCGATTTCGCATCTTCTGGTACTGTCGAGCAACCTCGTAGGCTTGCTCGGCTGAGGCGAGGCTGTGTCGCCAGAGCTCGATACGGTAGTCAGTCGGGAGACTGACTACGAACCTGTTGGTCTGAAGGACCTCAGGTAGGAGTGCCTCATCGCAAATGAGGCGGGCGTCCTGGAACACTCTGATGTGACGCTCAAGATCGGAGGGTGCGGAGGACCCGCGCCACTGCGTTTGGGTGACCCGATCTAGGGCGTCGGTCGCATCGTGGAGGGTTCCGTAGCGGTCGTGGAGGAACGCGGTGAAATCCGCGAGAGTGGGCGCCTCACCTGCACGAGTGCGATGGGTATAATAGTTCTCCCAAGCGGAGAACGCACTGCCTCGCAATTTAGTTGCGAGGGCGAACACCACAAGTCCTGACTAGTGCTAGTCAGTGTCAGCGCGCGTGTGATAGTCTGTAACCAGTGCGACACACGCATCGTACCATCGTAGTGGGGTATGTCCGATAGACGCACAAGGGTGGGACCGGAGAGGGGCTGATGGGTCTGCACTACGGCGGCAAATGTCGAAGTTGGTGCAGAGGTAGAACTGGAGGCTGGCTGTGAGACGGGGCTGCTGGTGGAAGGCCCAGCAGGCGTGGAGGTAACGCCCGCAGCCGACTATGACGGAGTAGCAAGGTAGGCGGGTAGAGGGGGGGAAGCCGGTCAAGGGAAGCGAGCCGGCAAGACAGTGGTGGGAGGGACGATATAAGAAGAAGAAGGGTGCGCAGCCTGTGGAGGGTGAGGATGTCTAAGGGAGAGAATCTCCGCCTGGAGCTGCGCCACAGTGGCTTGTAGGGTAGCCACTTGCTGGGTGCACGGGGTCGGGGGTGGAGGAGGCAGAGGGAGTGCCCTAGCTGGGAGAGGAAGAACTCCGGGCCGAAGTACCGTAACTGGTGCAGGAAGCTGCGACGCAGCACCGGGGTGGGTAGATGAGACTGCCTGACCCGATGTCGGTATCTGGGCGACAGCACATCCGGCGGTGGCCGAAGCGGCAGGGGCGGCGAAGGCGGCGACGACCGATGGGTGTACCGCCACAGACGGTGTGGTCTGGGCGGCAGCAGCACTTACCACTAGGGCGGGGGAGTGTTGGGCCTGACCCGCAGATGAGGACGAACCGCCACGTCTCCGTCTCTGGCGTCGTGGAGAGCCAGACTCCGAGCTGGTAGGCGATGGGGTCTGAGAGCGTTGGGGGGACCGATGAGGGGAACCCTTGAGGCGGTGAACTTTAAGGGCGAGCGCATTAACTTGCGTCTCCAGGGGTGCAAGCGCATCGAGTCGCGCTTGCCAAGGTGCAAGGAGGGACGCAAGAACAACGCGAAGGTCCGTGGGGTCCACACCATGCTGACCCTGGACCGTGGGGTGGGTGGACGCCTGAGAGGTGGATGGCRCCGCAACGATCTCCTCCACTGTAGCCATSTCCGTGGATGGTGGAGGAAGAGAGGTAGACATGGTGGGAGGTGGGGKRAGATATGGGTTGTGGYATGGGGACAGAGGACCACCGGTGAGAGGGAGAGRACCGCGGGAGCRGRGTGGGTAGTCGTGGGTCGGCTCGCCCCGTGACCAACGGGTCGCGCGTGAGATGGTGGCGCGAATCCGGTCTAGGGGAGAGGAGCCGTTCGGGTCCAGGGTGCCCGACGGAAGGAGGTGGGAGAGTAGGGGGGATAGGGAAACCCTAAACCCTAGAAAAACTCTAACCGGAGTTTAGGTGGTTACGGAAAGGTGGCGGCGACTTAATCAAGAAAAGAAAATAATAAATATGGAGGGGAAGGAGAATAGAGTAAACAGTGGATTTTCGAGATCAAAATAAAATAAAAGAATAAATAGAAATAAATAAATAAATAAAATGTAAAGATTGAGGAGAGAAAGAATATTTATTTTCTTGGAATTTTCGACAGCATTTTCCCACCCCGCATGGGGTCAAAAATGTGCCAAGAGGAAGAAAAGTGCAAGAGGGACACACTAACTTTCAAAATGCCGCAAATTAAAATTTTCAGAAAAATAAATGAGTAAATAAAGAAATAAATAAATAAATAAGGAGGTGGAGGAGAGTGAAGAGAAGCTAAGTTTTGGAATTTTTCAAAAATTTCGGCAGCATTTCGTTACCCCCATGGGGTCAAAGTGTGCCGTCAAGAAAAAGACTAAGTAAAATAAGAAGATTTTGTCAGCACTTCGCTACCCCCAAGGGGTCAAGATGTGCTGAAAAAAGACTAAGTATGAAGAAAACGGAAAATTTCGGCAGCACTTCGTTACCCCCACAGGGTCAAAATGTGTGCCGAAAGCAAGAATGGCCAAGTCCTAATTAGATTTTAGGGTGCTGCAGAAAATTTCGAATTTTCAGAATAAAAAAATAAATAAAAAAAATAAAAAATCAGAAAACAAGAAAAGAGGCAGGGAATAAGATGATTCAGATTTTTGGAGGAAAAGAAAATTTTACATCAAAAAGAAAGAGAAAAGAAGGAAAAACAGAAAAATTTGGAGTTGGGTGTGGGGGAGGATGGAAAAGTGGTGAAGAAAGAGAGAAAGAAGTGAGAAGAGAAAGAAAAAGGTAAGGTGGGGGGATGGGGGAGATGATGGGATTGTAGTTGGGGGAGGGAAGGAGGAGAAGAGGGTGGTAGGATGGGAGAGAAGGATATGAAAAAGGTGGAGAGAAGTATGAGATTAGTGAGAAATGGTGAGTGGGGAGGAGAGGAGAGAAAAAGGTCGTGGAAGATGGGCGGAGAGGGAGGTCGGGGTAGAGTGTAGTGGTAGGGGGGAAAAGATGATTAGATGATGGGGGGAAAAAGAGAAAAGAGGTTGGGGGAGAGTGGGTTAGTGGCAGGATTGTGATACCAGGCTCTTGGGTGGCCAAGAGAAAAGTTCTACCAAGATCCACAGGATCTTGGCCTTCAAGATGCTGCTGGTGTGATGCCACAGCAGTAATGATGATGATGGAGGGTTGACTGAGATCTTGATCAGCCACCCTACTACCACAGTCACACAGCCCCCCTAGCCAGGGGGGAATCTTGAACTGTTGCCAAACTGCTGCTGCAACAGTGTAGAGATAGTGAAAAAGAAAAAAAATAATAATATATGTATGTCTGTGGCGCAGCCCCCTAGCCAGGGGGGTCTTCAACAGGTATCCACATGGCAGTGCAGATTGCCACGTCTGGACTCTGCAGGCACCAGCAGCCACGGCGTGCGCGGGGGGGGGGGGCAAATAGCTTCGCAGCACGCTGTTCGCTGCTCGCCGGGGGGGGGGGGGGGGGGGGGGGGGGGGTAAATAGCTGGTGTGGAACTGTTCAACACGAACGTTCCACATTATATAGCCATGCATACAGTTTGGCCAGTGTATTATAGCACTGGCTACGCACGCGCATGAGTGTTGCCTGCCCAGGTTCAAACCCTGGCAGCAGCAGCAGACGCGCATGAGTGTTGCCTGCCCAGGTTCAAACCCTGGCAGCAGCAGCAGCATCCCGGATATCTTGATAATATATATCCGGGAGCGGAGCGGGGCGGGGCGGGGCAGCGTGGGCGCGCACGCGCGTGGTGGCGCTCTCCTTTTTCGCCACGTGTCAGTCTCTTCCGGCTGCTGCTTTTTTCCCGTTTTTTCTCTGCTCCCGCACCGAAAA